AACCTAATATTTTCTTCATTATTTGTCTCCAAAACCAAAATGAAAAAAAAACAGATAACGATTTGTTTTTTCAGTTTTCGATTTTGTGTTTAAATGAAAAATGGAAAAAAAATCGGATAAAGGTCGTTTATGTCGGACTTTTGCGCCGCACATGGACTGATCCAGGACTGATCCAGGACTGATCCAGGACTGATCCAGGACTGATCCAGGTCCAGGACCAGAGCAGGACCAGACTCCGAGCTTTGACTCTGAGCCTCCGCGGGGTCCGAGCCTCAGCTTCGAGCTCCGGTCCTGCCGTGGGCTCTGAACCTCCAGTCTGGTCCCGATCTCAAGTCTCAGTCCTGGTCTGGTCTCAGTCCTGGTCTGTTGTCAGTCAGTTCTGGTCTGGTGTCAGTCCTGGTCTGGTCTCGGTCTGGTCTCGGTCTGGTCTGGTCTCGGTCTGGTCTGGTCTGGTCTCGGTCCTGGTCTGGTCTCGGTCCTGGTCTGGTCTGAGTCCTGGTCTGGGTCTGGTCTCGGTCTGGTCTGGTCTGGTCTCAGTCCTGGTCTGGTCTCGGTCCTGGTCTGGTGTCAGTCCTGGTCTGGTGTCAGTCCTGGTCTGGTCAGTCTGGTCTGGTCTGGTCTGGTCTCGTCCTGGTCTCGGTCCTGGTCTGGTCTCGTCCTGGTCTGGTCTGGTCTGGTCTGGTCGGTCTGGTCTGGTCTGGTCTTCTCTTCCTGGTCTGGTCTCGTCTGGTCTCAGGTCCTGGTCTGGTCTGGTCTGGTCTCAGTCCTGTCTGTCTCGGTCTGGTCTGGTCTCCGGTCCTGGTCTGGTCTCGGTCCTGGTCTGGTCTCGGTCCTGGTCTGGTCTCGGTCTCGGTCTGGTCTGGTCTCGGTCCTGGTCTGGTCTCGGTCCTGGTCTGGTCTCGGTCTGGTCTCGTCCTGGTCTCGGTCCTGGTCTGGTCTCGGTCTGGTCTCGTCCTGGTCTCGGTCCTGGTCTCGGTCTGGTCTCGTCCTGGTCTCGGTCCTGGTCTGGTCTCAGTCCTGGTCTGGTCTCAGTCTGGTCTCGAAGTCACAGATTTTTCATTTAAACACAAAATCGAAAACTGAAAAAAAAAAAAAAAAACCTTTATCTATTTTTTTTTTATTTTGATTTTGGAGACAAATAATGAAGAAAACTGAACTGTTGTCTTTTTTTTCCCCATTTTCTTATTTTTGGTTTTATTTTGAAACACAACATCAACGTTTTTCCTCAAAAACCTGTTGTGTACAATTAAATACTTGTGAGTGCCCCCTGGTGGACTCTCCGTGGGTTTTCACTGCGACCCGACATGATGCAGATAAAACAGGAGCTGCAGCTGTCGATATAATCGCCGATATATTTAGCGATTGTTTCAAAAACTCGGGTTTGTCTCTGGTGGATTTTTAATTGTGTTTATTTAGGAAACATTTGTTGTTCTCGGAGGTCGACTCATGACATTTTTACATCGTCACAATCTAGTAAAGAAAATAAACTACTGATATGTGTAAATGTCGATCATTCACACCTCTGTTCACAGCTCATTTATACATCAGTGCAGCTCCAGTAAAGCACCAGAGCCTCAAAAAACTCCCTAAACACTTCGATTTGGAGCATTTACATTTGAGTTCAGACGCCCCTTTGCGCGTCCGTTGCCCTGGAAACAAGAGCCCGGTCCTGGACTTTTCCCGAAACAATGTCAGACCAGACTGAGAGACTTTAGAGTTTTTATCATATAAAACATCAGCGGAGGAGATCGACTCGACGACTGGAGCGAGTTTATATTTATACTCCACTAATGACACTGGATCAGTCCTGGTCTAGTCCTGGTCCGGTCCTGGTCCGGTCCTGGTCTAGTCCTCGGTGATTGTGGTGTATATATTTCATCTCTGCTCATGTTTGTGTCTCTGGTTCTCGGGTTTTTCTTCCTGACAATAACGTCTGACACGAAAACTTCAACATTTTCAACTTCTTGACGCTGACGCCGCGGACGTTGACGTGAAAACGCTCAAGAGGCGCCGCAAAAACGCAGGAACGCTCCAGTCGCACGTCCACATCGACTTTACAAAGAAACTGGACAATTTGACGCTTTAGTGTGAACGAACCTTAACAAACATATACGAACAATATATTCACTTTACAACAGAAAACAGACCAACAGATCATCAATAAACAAATAAACAAAACTAGTTTCAAAGTCGACATATTTCAACACTCAGCCTCACACAGGCTCCTCCCACATCACACAGGCTCCTCCCACATCACACAGGCTCCTCCCACATCACACAGGCTCCTCCCACATCACACAGGCTCCTCCCACATCACAAGTCTGAACTAATAAATGTCCTTTTAATCCAGACTCAAACCGACTGTAAAAAGAAAATAATCTCAGTGTTTGGATCTGTGTGTGTGAGTGTGAACAAACACACACACACACACAGACACAGACACACACACACAGACACTATACACACACACACACACAGACACACTATATACACACACACAGACACAGACACACTTAATTAAATCAACAGGATGTAGAGCGTCTGAGATTTAGAACCACGTATAACCTGCCCATGAGAAATATCGGCCCAGATCAGCAAACATATCGACCGATCGACAATATGTCTCCAGGTGTCAATATCGGCCGATAATATTGGCCAACCGATATGTCTAATCAGAAGGACTCTGGTTTAAAGCGTCAGAAAAAGTCCGTGTTTTGTGGATGTTTTGGAGTTTTCCGTCAGATTCAGTTTTACAGCTCTGTGCTTTTTCCTCTGTTTCAACACTTTTCCTTTTTTTTTTTTTTTTTCTTGGTTAATATTTGCACAGGTACGAACCACAAAAAAACCCCAAGTCCGAACGAGAAGAACAAACGAGCCGCTGTTGTTTTGTTGTTAAACCCCGAGCGACGCCGCGACAGTGAAAACAAAGAAAAGATCAGCTTCAACTTTTAATGATTTTAACTTTTACCTTTTCAAAATAAAACCAAACAGATCCCAGACTCAGTCCTGGTTCAGTCCTGTTTTTAGTCCTGGTCTGGTCTCTGGTCTGGTCTCTGGTCTCTGGTCTCTGGTCTGGTCTCTGGTCTCTGGTCTGGTCTGGTCTGGTCTCTGGTCTGGTCTCTGGTCTGGTCTCTGGTCTGGTCTGGTCTGGTCTGGTCTGCTCTGGTCTGGTCTCTGGTCTGGTCTCTGGTCTCTGGTCTGGTCTCTGGTCTGGTCTGGTCTCTGGTCTGGTCTGGTCTCTGGTCTCTCTGGTCTGGTCTCTGGTCTGGTCTGGTCTGGTCTCTGGTCTCTGGTCTGGTCTCTGGTCTCTGGTCTCTGGTCTCTGGTCTCTGGTCTCTGGTCTCTGGTCTCTGGTCTCTGGTCTCTGGTCTCTGGTCTGGTCTGGTCTCTGGTCTGGTCTCTGGTCTGGTTTCTCTGGTCTCTGGTCTCAGTTTCATTCTTTCCTTCAGTTCTTCAGTTTGTTCACATCATCAGATGATCTCAGACCTCCAGCCACAAGACGCTCTCTCATCCCTCCATCTATCCCTCCATCTATCCCTCCATCTATCCCTCCATCTATCCCTCTCTCTATCACTCTCTCTCCTCCTCTCTCCTTCTCTCTCTTCTTCTTCTTCATGTGTTCATGTCTTGTTCTGGGGCAGGTTCTACAGCCGTCTGTCTCTACCTCCTCCTCCTCTCCTCTCTCACCTTCACTCTTTCACTCCTCTCTTCTCACTCTTCTTCTCCCACCTCTCCTCTCTCACTAGACTCTTCTCTCACTCCTCTTCCATCTCACTCCTTTCTCTCATCCTCTCCCTCTTTTTCTCTCTCCTCTCCTCTCTCACTCCTTTTCTCTCACACCTTTCTCTCATCCTCTCACCTTCACCCTCTCCTCTCGGGAGGAGAGCTCCTCCTTCTCTCACTCTTCTTCTCTCATCCTCACTCGTTTTCTCTCTCACCTTTACCCTCTGTCTTCCCTCTTCTCACTCCTCTCTTCTCTGTCTTCTTCTCTCACTCCTCTTCCAGCTCACTCCTCTCCTCTCTCTCTAGTCTCTTCTCTCACTCGTTTTCTCTCTCACCTTCACCCTCTCCTCTCAGGAGGAGAGAGGAGAGCTCCTCCTCCTTCTCTCTCCTCCTTCACTCACTCCTCCTCTTCTCTCACTCCTCTCCTCTCATCCTCACTCTTTTTCTCTCCTTCACTCCCTCACTCCTCTTCTCTCTCCTCACTCCTCTCTTCTCCTCTCCTCTCACTCCTCCTCTTCTCTCCTCTCACTCCTCTTCTCTCTCCTCTCTCCTCTCTCTCCTCTCACTCCTCTTCTCTCTCCTCTCACTCCTCTTCTCTCTCTCTCCTCTCTTCTCTCTCCTCTCTCTCCTCTCTCTCTCTCTCTCTCTCCTCTCACTCCTCTCTTCTCTCTCTGTCCTCTCTTCTCTCACTCTCTCTCTCTCTCTCTCTCTCTCTCTCCTCTCCTCTCACTCCTCTCTCTCTCTCTCTCTCTCTCACTCCTCTCTTCTCTCTCTCTCTCTCTCTCTCTCTCTCTCCTCTCACTCCTCTCTCCTCTTCTCTCACTCCTCTCCTCTCTCCTCTTCTCTCTCCTCTCACTCCTCTTCTCTCACTCTCCTCTCACTCCTCTCTCCTCTTCTCTCTCCTCTCACTCCTCTTCTCTCTCCTCTCACTCCTCTCTCTCTCTCTCTCCACTCCTCTCTTCTCTTCTCTCTCTCTCACTCCTCTCCTCTTCTCTCTCTCTTCCTCTTCTCTCTCACCTTCACTCCTCTCCTTGTCTCATCCTCTTCTTCTCTCTTCCATCTCTCCTCCTCCTCTCAGACTCTTTAATTAAACTGCAGAATGTCCTCCACCCCTCCTTCTCTCCTCTCTTTCTTTCTCTCTTTCTCTCCTCTCTCTTTCTCTCTCTTTGGTCTTGTAGTTGGGGGCAGGTTCAGGAGGAGGAGGAGGGACGTCTCTTTCCATCTCTCTTTCTCTCTTTCCTTCTCTCTCTTCTGTCGTTCTCCGGTCGTCCGTCGGTGATGAAGTGATCGTCCGGTCCGAGCCTCCGAACGCGAGACGCCTCAGGTAAGACACACACACACACACACACACACACACACACACACACACACACACACACACACACACACACACACACACACACACACACACACACACAAAACAAACGAGACCAAAACCCAAACGGGAAACTTCACATGGAAATAATTCAGAAATAAAACCTTGAACTTTAAGTTTAGAGTTTTTTTTAATGAACGGAACAAACTGAGACTCAACATCTTCTCTCCATCATCTCACAGTCCTGGAATTTAAACTTTAAAAAACACCAGGACCAGGACTAAACCAGGACTAAACCAGGTCTAAACCAGGACTAAACCAGGTCTAAACCAGGACTAAACCAGGACTAAACCAGGACTAATCCAGGTCCTGGTCTCAGTCCCGATCACATGACAGTCAACGCGAGCGCATCTCTGGGCCCGTCCAGTTCTGGTTCAGTCCAGTCCTGGTTAGTCCTGTTTTTAGTCCTGGTTTAGTCCTGGTTTAGTCCTGTTTTAGTCCTGGTTTAGTCCTGGTTTTGAGTCCTGGTTTAGTCCTGGTTTAGTCCTGGTTTAGTCCTGGTTTAGTCCTGGTTTAGTCCTGGTTTAGTCCTGGTTCAGTCCTGGTTTAGTCCTGGTTTAGTTAGTCCTGGTTTAGTCCTGGTTCAGTCCTGGTTTAGTCCCTGGTTTAGACCTGGTTTAGTCCTGGTTTTAGTCCTGGTTTAGTCCTGGTTTAGTCCTGGTTTAGTCCTGGTTTTAGTCCTGGTTTAGTCCTGTTTTAGTCTTAGTTTAGTCCTGGTTTAGTCCTGGTTTAGTCCTGGTTTAGTCCTGGTTTAGACCTGGTTTAGTCCTGGTTTAGTCCTGGTTTAGTCCTGTTTTAGTCCTGGTTTAGTCCTTGTTAGTTCCTGGTTTAGTCCTGGTTTAGTCCTGGTTTAGTCCTGGTTTAGTCCTGGTTTAGTCCTGGTTTAGTCCTTGATCCTGGTTTAAGTAGTCCTGGTTTAGTCCTGGTTTAGTCCTGGTTTAGTCCTGGTTTAGTCCTTGGTTTAGTCCTGGTTTAGTCCTGGTTTAGACCTGGTTTAGTCCTGGTTTAGTCCTGGTTTAGTCCTGGTTTAGTCCTGGTTTAGTCCTGGTTTAGAGTCCTGGTTTAGTCCTGGTTTTAGTCCTGGTTTAGTCCTGGTTTTAGTCCTGGTTTAGACCTGGTTTTAGTCCTGGTTTAGTCCTGGTTTAGTCCTGGTTTAGTCCTGGTTTAGTCCTGGTTTAGTCCTTGGTTTAGACCTGGTTTAGTCCTGGTTTAGTCCTGGTTTAGTCCTGGTTTAGTCCTGGTTTAGTCCTGGTTTAGTCCTGGTTTAGTCCTGGTTTAGTCCTGGTTTAGTCCTGTTTAGTCCTGGTTTAGACCTGGTTTAGTCCTGGTTTAGTCCTGGTTTAGTCCTGGTTTAGACCTGGTTTAGTCCTGGTTTAGTCCTTGTTTAGTCCTGGTTTTTAGTCCTGTTTAGTCCTGGTTTAGTCCTGGTTTAGTCCTGGTTTAGTCCTGGTTTAGTCCTGGTTTAGACCTGGTTTAGTCCTGGTTTAGTCCTGGTTTAGTCCTTGGTTTAGTCCTGGTTTAGTCCTGGTTTAGTCCTGGTTTAGTCCTGGTTTAGTCCTGGTTCTGGTTTTAGTCCTGGTTTAGTCCTGGTTTAGTCCTAGGTTTAGTCCTGGTTTAGTCCTGGTTTAGTCCTGGTTTAGTCCTGGTTTAGTCCTGGTTTCCAGGTTTTCCTGGTTTAGTCCTAGTCCTGGTTTAGTCCTGGTTTAGTCCTGGTTTTAGTCCTGGTTTAGTCCTGGTTTAGTCCTGGTTTAGTCCTGGTTTAGTAGTCCCTGGTTTAGACCTGGTTTAGTCCTGGTTTAGTTTAGACCTGGTTTAGTCCTGGTTTAGTCCTGGTTTAGTCCTGGTTTAGTCCTGGTTTTAGTCCTGGTTTAGTCTGGTTTAGTCCTGGTTTAGTCCTGGTTTAGGGTTTAGTTTCCTGGTTTAGTCCTGGTTTAGTCCTGGTTTAGTCCTGGTTTAGTCCTGGTTTAGTCCTGGTTTAGTCCTGGTTTAGTCCTGGTTTTGGTTTAGTCCTCCTGGTTTAGTTCCTTTTAGTCCTGGTTTAGTCCTGGTTTAGTCCTGGTTTAGTCCTGGTTTAGTTTAGTCCTGGTTTAGTCCTGGTTTAGTCCTGGTTTAGTCCTGGTTTAGTCCTGGTTTAGACCTGGTTCCTGGTTTAGACCTCCTGGTTTAGTCCTGGTTTAGTCCTGGTTTAGTTTAGTCCTGGTTTAGTCCTGGTTTAGTTCCTGGTTTAGTCCTGGTTTAGTCCTGGTTTAGACCTGGTTTTAGTCCTGGTTTAGTCCTGGTTTTAGTCCTGGTTTAGTCCTGGTTTAGTCCTGGTTTAGTCCTGGTTTAGTCCCTTGGTTTAGTCCTCCTGGTTTAAGTCCTGGTTTAGTCCTGGTTTAGTCCTGGTTTAGTCCTGGTTTAGTCCTGGTTTAGACCTGGTTTAGTCCTGGTTTAGTCTGGTGGTTTAGTCCTGGTTTAGTCCTGGTTTAGTTCCTGGTTTAAGTCTTGTCCTGTTTAGTCCTGGTTTAGTTCCTGGTTTAGTCCTGGTTCAGTCCTGGTTTAGTCCTGGTTTAGTCCTGGTTTAGTCCAGTCCTGGTTTAGTCCTGTTTAGTCCTGGTTTAGTCCTGGTTTAGTTTTTAGTCTGGTTTAAGTCTGGTTTAGTCCTGGTTTAGTCCTGGTTTAGTCCTGGTTTAGTCCTGGTCTGGTTCTTCTCTCTTTGAATCTTTTTTAATCACCTGTTTGTTTGTTTGTTTGTTTGTTTTTTCCCGTCGTCGTTTTTGTTGTTGTTGTTTTTTTGTTTCCGTGGCAACAGGATCTCAGGTCTGAAACAGCTCAGAGTCGATCCGTCAACGCGAGACTCAAACGTACGACTTTAAACGACGTGAAGACGAAGAAGACGAAGAGCGTTTGTTTGTTTGTTCGGACTCGGTCTCGTTAAACGTCGTTGGTTTGAGTTTACGGCGCCGCGGCTCCATTTAAAACAGGAAGTGGTGAATAAAAACTAACGAGACACTTCGGTTTCACTTTGAGCAAACGAGAGAAAAGTTCTGTGTTTGTGAACGAAAAACTGAACCTAAAACCTACGACACAACAGGACTAAACCAGGACTAAACCAGGACTAAACCAGGACTAAACCAGGACTAAACCAGGACTAAACCAGGACTAAACCAGGACTAAACCAGGACTAAACCAGGACTAAACCAGGACTAAACCAGGACTAAACCAGGACTAAACCAGGACTAAACCAGGACTAAACCAGGACTCAACCAGGACTAAACCAGGACTAAACCAGGACTAAACCAGGTCTAAACCAGGACTAAACCAGGACTAAACCAGGTCTAAACCAGGTAAACCAGGACTAAACAGGACTAAACCAGGACTAAACCAGGACTAAACCAGGACTAAACCAGGACTAAACCAGGACTAAACCAGGACTAAACCAGGACTAAACCAGGACTAAACCAGGACTAAACCAGGTCTAAACCAGGTCTAAACCAGGACTAGAACCAGGACTAAACCAGGACTAAACCAGGACTAAACCAGGACTAAACCAGGACTAAACCAGGTCTAAACCAGGACTAAACCAGGACTAAACCAGGACTAAACCAGGACTCTAAACCAGGACTAAACCAGGTCTAAACCAGGACTAAACCAGGACTAAACCAGGACTAAACCAGGACTAAACCAGGACTAAACCAGGTCTAAACCAGGTCTAAAACCAGGACTAAACCAGGACTAAACCAGGACTAAACCAGGACTAAACCAGGACTAAACCAGGACCAGGACTAAAACCAGGTAAACTAAACCAGGACTAAACCAGGACTAAACCAGGACTAAACCAGGACTAAACCAGGACTAAACCAGGACTAAACCAGGTCTAAACCAGGAAAACCAGGACTAAACACCAGGACTAAACCAGGTCTAAACCAGGACTAGAACAGGACTAAACCAGGACTAAACCAGGACTAAACCAGGTCTAAACCAGGACTAAACCAGGACTAAACCAGGACTAAACCAGGACTAAACCAGGACTAAACCAGGACCAGGACTAAACCAGGACTAAACCAGGTCTAAACCAGGACTAAACCAGGACTAAACCAGGTCTAAACCAGGACTAAACCAGGACTAAAACCAGGACTAAACCAGGACTAAACCAGGTCTAAACCAGGACTAAACCAGGACTAAAACCAGGACTAAACCAGGACTAAACCAGGACTAAACCAGGACTAAACCAGGACTAAACCAGGACTAAACCAGGACTAAACCAGGACTAAACCAGACTAACCAGGACTGGACTAAACCAGGACTAAACTAAACCAGGACTAAACCAGGACTAAAACCAGGACTAAACCAGGACTAAAACAGGTCTAAAACCAGGACAGAACCAGGACTAAACCAGGACTAAACCAGGACTAAACCAGGTCTAAACCAGGACTAAACCAGGACTAAACCAGGACTAAACCAGGACTAAACCAGGTCTAAACCAGGACTAAACCAGGACTAAACCAGGTAAACTAAACCAGGAAACTAAAACCAGGACTAAACCAGGACTAAACCAGGACTAACCAGGACTAAACCAGGACTAAACCAGGACTGAACCAGGACTAAAACAAGACTAAAACAGGACTAAAACAGAACAGAACCAGGACTAAACCAGGACTAAACCAGAACTAAACCAGGACTGAACCAGGACTAAACCAGGACTAAACCAGGACTAAACCAGGACTAAACCAGGTCTAAACCAGTACTAAACCAGGACTAAAACAGGACTGAACCAGGACTAAACAGGACTGAACCAGGACTAAAACAGGACTAAATCTTCCAGTTCACAAACAGAAGAGGTGAACTTCAGAAATGGTCACAGTTCAAGTCAGTCTCAAGTTTGTTCTAAACCCTGTGTTTGATAAATATTTGGTAAATATTTAATATTTGGTAAATATTTGACATTCGTTGAATATTTGGTGAATATT